CCCAGGTGGGTCTCAAACCCGCGGGCTCAGGCAATCCACTCACCTGAGCCTCCCAAAGGCATGGGATTGCAGGCTGAGCCACCGAGCCTGGCCATGAATATCTTATTAATCTTTATGTCTACAGCATCTTGCACAGCAGGCCATGCATAGTTGTTGAAAAAAGAATGAACTGGCCAGGCGTGGTGGCTCATATCTATAATCTCACACTTTGGGAGGTGGAAATGAGAGGATTACCTATGCCCTGGGGTTTGAGATCTACCTGAGCAACTTGGCAAGACCTCATCTGTATAATAAATCAAACCAAAAAAAAAAAAAAAAATTAGCCAGGCATGGTGGCATGCACCTGTAGTTCCAGCTACCTGGAAGGCTGAAGTGGATGGATCACCTGACCCCAGCAGGTCAAGGCTGCAGTAGCCATGAGTGACAGAGTAAGACTGACTCAAAAAAAAAGGATGAACTGATTGATTAAACTTAATAAACTCATCCGTTTATTCCTAAGAAAGGAATAAAATAGACTATGAACAGAACCCTAAGAAAGGAAATGCCTGTATACCCCTTTTCCTCACGGTCTATAGTCCTACTTTATCTTTTTCATAAACCTTAGTAACTCTTGAATTATCATTTATCTTTTAATGTTCTAATAGCGTGTACTTGAATGCAATGTATTCCTAGCACTTACAACTGAGCCTGATCTTTAGTAATCACTGTGGATATTTGCAGATCGACCATGTCATGGTGAGGTATATGGGCAGAGGTCTGGTGTCCAGTAGCTGAGGAGAGTATTGCACAAAATTCATTAGTTGCTAACCATTTATTTATTCATTTTAAATTGATGTTTATTGAATACCTACTTTGTACCAGACACTTCGAGAAATTGGTATTACTCAGATGAGTAGTACAGTAAGAATCCTTGTTAACTTGAAAGTTATCTTTTACAGAAGAAAAAGACAATATACAAAATTGGCAGATAAATGGAAAGATAATTTAGATGATATCATGTGCAATGAGGAACATTTAATAACATGTAATTTATATAGAAGTGAGCTATTTTTTTCAGTATTTAACAAGAAATTTCAGAGAAAGTGACATTTAAGCTACAAATTTAGTGTCAAGTAAAACTAAGCCTTGTGAAGGTCTGGCTATAGAGTGTTCTGAGCAAATGAAAAAATAAAGTCATTGAGGCAGGAATGAATGTATTTTTTTAAAAAACTTTTACTAGCCAGGCTCGGTGGCTCAGCCTGTAATCCCACGCCTTGGGAGGCTGAGGTGAGTGGATTGCCTGAACCTGAGGGTTCGAGACCCACTTAGGCAACTTGGTGAGACCTCATCTCTACAATAAATCAAAAAATTAGCCGGGCATGGTAGTGCACGCCTGTAGTTCCAGCTGCTTGGAAGACTGAGGCAGAAGGATCGCCGGAGCCCAGCGGGTTGAGGCTGGGTGACGGAGTGAGACTCCGACTCAAAAACAAAAAGCAAAAAAAACTTTTATTATAAACTCTTTGACAGCAAATGATTTTTTTAATAGTTATTTTATTTCCGTGGTTCATATGGTGCTTTTTTCACACAGTGACAAGCATTTAAACTCAAACTTTGTTTCCAAGGTCTTTTTCTCAATAGTTTCTTAAGTGGGGTGGGTTAAGAAGGGAATCATTTTAAGTTTGTTTTTACTTAAGGATAACCTATAATTCCCTATTATTCTTTGACTTGAATCTTTACCAATATGAAAATTATTTTTTATGAATATACAATGAACTTCATGAGAAGTCAAAAGTGCTAATAAAAATAAAGCAAAAACTCTCCAAAATCTAGCACAAGTACCATTTTTCATGTGTGTCCTTGTTTTACATGAATTTTTTTTGGGGGGGAGGGAGTCAATAGTGTTTGTAGATATTTTCCCATGTCAGAAATAAGGTTTACAGAATCTTTATGAGCTGAATTCTGTGGTGTGAATGAAGCATACTTTATTTAAATAATTCCATTTAATTATGTATCTCTGTTCATAATATTTAACTTTTTTAAGTACATTGTCATAATCACTGAGGTTTTGTTTGATAATCTAAGAATAAATACCTAGAAGTGATATGACTTTTCAGGAAGATTATACTAACTTATATTTGTGAGAACATAGTCAGTGTATGCTTATTTCTTCTTTTGTCAGCCTTCATTGAGTTTGCCAATCTGATATGCAGAAAATGTCTTCTAAAATAAATTATATGTTTTCTTAAATACAAGTGACATTGAATGATTGTGATTTTGTTATTTGCCATTTTTGCCTTGAGAATTGCCTATTCAGGTCATTGTGGTATTTATCTTTTTAAGAATTTTTAAACATTATTTTTAAGTACAAATAATAAGCCTTTTTTATTTGTTGGAAACAATTTTTTCTTAATTTGAATTGTTTGAGTTGACTTTTTGCCACTTGGAAGATTTTATTTTATAATGTTTATATTGTCACAATTAATATTTCTAGATTTTTAAATCTGTCATGTTTTTAATGTAATCTTATACTTCTCATACAATAAGACTTTTATTACTCGTTTAAATAACATTAGTTTACATTTATGTGGATATATTCTTTCTATTTACAAACTCACTACCATAAATATAGTGTGGTTTAGAAAAGAATGATTGGGGAAAAAGCTCCCAGGTTTTTTTTTTTTTTACTATCCTTATTGTGTATACTTTAATTGTTTTTTATTTTCTTTCTTTGTTATAGAGTGTAAATCAGGATGAGGGTTGATAGGGACTGTGCTGTTTTCTTCTGTGTGTCTGTTCCCAGCATACCTATCACTTTGGTATTACCTGACATGTTAGTTAATTTATTATCTCTATGAGTCAGGATTCAGTTGGAGATAACAGTAATTACTGTAGATATTTTTTAAGTAGAAAGGGACTTAATTCAAAAACTTGGGTACTTATAAAATCATTAGAAGTCTTAGAGTTTCCAAATATTAAAATAACATTGTAGAACTGAACCCAGCTGTAATCAGAAAAATAGGAGGTCAGGAAACTATCTGTGTAGCTCTGTGTCCAGGCAGATACCGCCTGTGTTGTAATTCAGCTAAGCTGCATTTTATAGAGTTGTGGTGACAACATGTTCTGCACTCTGCCTCCGAACATTCACACAGCCTGGATGCTGGGACAATGGAGAAAATGTCTGTAAAACACCTTTATTTGCATTTTTGCTAGCAGAAACAGAACTAGTAGCCAGAGCCTCTGCCTCAGTTATACTTTCCTAGTTTCACATGTAGGCATTTCATTGGTGAACTTAAATTACATCCACAACTCTAGATGCAAGAGTTTTGGAAATGTAATTTCTTTTTTAGCTTTCTAGCTTCTAGACAAAGGCAGAGGAGAATAGAATGAATGTTGAATATCAGTCTTCCATATTCATCACTAGTTATGTAAGATGAAAAATGATCCACATGCATAGGATAGGATAAAAACAGACTGAAAATTTTTTCTTATTTTTAGATTAATTTATATGAACAAATTACTTTTTCCTTTTCAGCACTTGCTAGAAGTAAACTCTTTAAAACACCTGACAAGACTGACTCTACAGGATCGCATTACCAAGTCCCTTCTTCATTTGCACAAGAAGAAAAAACCTCCCAGTATCAGCGCCCAGTTTCAGGTTATTTCCTATTTTACTTACAACAAATAAGAATCTGTTTCTTTCAGATTGTCATTGAAAGGTTAAAGTGATCTGCAAGATGGGAAATGATTCATGTGACAAAAAAGTCATATTTTACTGGTCGTTTTGAAAAAAAAGTACCAGAGTGAAAAAAAGTCAGGTGCCTTTGTTTTTATTCATATATTTTTGAATAGTGAGTATCCCAAAAAGTAATTCATTATTTTCACTGTTAGGAGAAAGGACCAGAAAACTGATATTATAAACAAAACCCGCCTTTAAACCTACTACCCAGATGAAGTCACTGTTAGCATGATGATGTATGCATGTATGTTTTTTTCTACTTAGTCCTCATGCTGTTGCTTTCAGAATTTAAGTAAGACTGTAGATATTTTTATGTGTATGTTTATTTTAGTTTTGTATAAACAGAAATCTATTTCTTTTTTTTTTTGGCTTTTGGAAATAAACATGACAGTAATAAACTAAGCAAGTTATTTTTAGAATACTGTTTTCAAGTTACTTTTTAAATTACTTCTTCCATTTTTCTCAAATCATCTCTCCAAAGTTCTGTGCATTTGATTGATATTTATTAAAATAAGCAAAATATCTAGTAGGAAATAATACTTTGCATATGTTTATATCCCAGAAACAATGTTTACTGTTAAATAAACATTTCCTTACTGATGGTAGTTGTATTTATACATGTTGACACTTTTCTATTATTCCTTTTACAGCCAGGATGTTTGAGCATACATTATCTACTAACATGTCATTGTGTATTATCTTATTTTATAACCATAGTTCTTCAAATTTTGGACTACCAGTTTCATTTTATTTTAGATAATTCTCAGCATAGACCTATGGAAAAATTGAATCTGTTAATTTTTATTTGTTCATATGCTTTCTCGTCCCCAGCCCCCTCTTTTTAAAATTTTTTTGAGTCAGAGTCTCACTGTGTTGTTTAGACTGTAGGGTAGTGGCATGATCACAGCTCACCACAGCCTTGACCTCCTGAGCTCAGGTGATCTTCTGCCTCAGGCTTCTGAGTACCTGGGATTACAAGCGTGCACCACCACACCCAGCTTTTTGTTTGATTTCTTTTGTAGAGAGAAGCTCTTACTATCTTGCTCAAGTTGGTCTTGAACTCCTGGCTCAAGCAAGCCTCCTACCTGGGCTTCTCCAAATTGCAGGCGTGAGCCACCATGCCTGGTCTGTCTTCTCTTTTAAAAAGAAAATACAGAGATAAAGAAAGCAAGACCAAAGAGCCAAATAACCCATCATGTACTAATAAGCTTAAAGGAAAGGGAAGTGAGTACAGTGATCTTTTACAGATGTCATACATACCAAAATTATTCTTTAATCTGATGAGGACCATGTAGCTACTGCAATAAAAACTTAGTTATCATCACAATTTTATCATATGTATTAAAATCCCCCCAAATTCAGATATTCCTAATTTATATTCATGCATTATGTTTAATTTTTGCAAAAAGGGTCATCTTTAATAGTTCTAATAAATTGTTAAATTATTGCAAAAGTAATGTTAATTTTTTATTATTTAGAAGATTCAAATGAGCAAAAAAAAAATGAAAAATTTTTACCATCCATAGATAATGACTATGACTAGTATATACTGTGTCTTCCAAGCCCTTTGCATATATAGTTACACACATTTAATTTACACATATGAATTATCTAAGTTTTCCTCC